GCTTTCCAACCGTACACCTTGTCGTTCACAGCCTAATGTGTAACCTCTATGCCACCAGGGCTCCTTGAGGGAAGAGGAGTAGGAGATAAAATAAAAAATCAGCTAAATGGCACTGGACCCTGCAAGACTTTTCTTAGGTCAGTTCATGGGTTTTGGTTTTTCAGGTGAAATGGAAGTGCATTGGAGAATTTTAAAACAGGATTAATGTGATTTTAAGTTTTAGATTGAAAGCAGATGGAAGAGGTCAGTATGCAAGTAGGGGCGTGGGGCGTAGTTGGGACATACCACAGGTGAGGCACGAGGTAGCAGCAGTTTGATTCTAGATACCTTCTAAAGATGGAAACAGTGGAACTTCCCTGATGGGGTGATGGATGGCCCTGAGGTGCTAGGGAGGGTGGCAAAGAGCCCGAGTGACTTCTTCCAAACACATTTGTTCATTTTCCCGGCAGTCCATGTGTTTTTGTAGTCTTCACCAACAGTTCCTTCTTTGTTCGTCATGCATTGTCCAGCTCTTACACAAATCGAAGGCAACTGAAAAGGCATCCCCGGCTTGAGTCAGGCGGACTTGAGTTCTCAAAGGGACATCCAAGGCATTGTTTGGGTTCTTGGCTGCTGGTTTCATGAGCGTAGATTACAGTTTGGAGTCAAATGAAATCCTTGCCAGCTTCAGTATTTCCTCCATTTATCATGATGTTGCTTACTGATCCAGTCGTGAGCATTTTTGTTCTCTTCGTGACTCGTGTTCTCTTCGTGTACACCATACTGAAGACTGATCTCACCAGGGACAGGTCAGGGACTTCTGCCTGCCCCGGGAATGAACGCTCTGCTTACTAAGAATGGATGAATATTCTGTTTCCTGAGGAAATGGACCCTCTACCTGCTAGGAATCATCTTCTTTCTGTGAAGGGAGCGAGCATTCTGCCTGCTAATGGGCCCTGAGGTAACGAGCCTGGTTAAGTGACTTAACCTGGAGCCAGGCTAGGTGGTCACCCTGAGACATCTACCCCAGAGTTATAGCCTGGGAAATGTAGAGCCCTCCACACCGTATCTATAGCCTGAGTTAAAACTCAAGACATTCCTGACACAGAATTACATCCTGAAATACATTAGAAAGAAATATACAGGAGACCCAAGGACAAGCTTACTAACTAATTAGAGAGCGGTCTCTGAGGAGCTGTGAGCCCCTCCCTTTTGAAAGTGCCCTTCCAGAACAGGAAGCAGTTTCCTATCTTGGAATCCTTCTCACTTCTAGAGGGGGACTTGGTTTATCTCTTTTGCAGTGACCTTAAGTAAACACTTGACCGAACTCTTTGCTGCTGTGTGCATGTGAGTGTGATGGGTGGGGTTATCTCTGACTCCTTACCAATCACCCGGGTAGAACTTGCTAGTTACCCAGTTACCTGGAGTTACCTGCAGCACCAAAGGGGACAGTCTTTGATCTTCATCAGTAAGTGTTTTAAGTACTCTTTGCTTTTGGCGAAGATTGCAACCTAGGAAACCTGATGGTTATATGACGGCACCACCGTAGCCCTGTAGAGTTTGAGGTGCCTCTTATCACCCACAAATACTGGGTTCTGCAGAGGTTGAGGTGCTTCTTATCACCCACAAATACTGGGTTCTGCAGAGGTTGAGGTGCTTCTTATCACCCACAAATACTGGGTTCTTGCCCACAGCAGGTGAGCCCAACTCATGTCCACTGTCAGTGGACATTGGAGAGCTGGAAAAAGTACGGTGACCAGACGTCCCGCTTTTGGCGGGACAGCCCCGATTTTGGGCATTTTTTAAAAGTCCCGATTTTTGGCAAGAATGCACGACAAGCTAGGGAACGGTCTATTTGGTCCATATAGACCAAATTTTTAATCAAGAATGCCCCCCCACCCCCCAGTCAATGGTGTCCCACTTTAAATCTGATCACCTTAGGAAAAAAGACTAGCGTCGGAGTAGTCTTCCAGCAACTCAACTGTTTGGTGGGGACTCTTAATTATTGGAATGTTTCATGTATTTATACCGGTTTCATCTGTAAATACTCATTACAGATTATATGCAGGTGGGTGATAATTTTGACACTACATGACCAAAACCAAGCACTTCATGCAATCGAGTGGATGTCGACTCATTTGTGAGGTCTATCTGGCGACGGAAAGAAACAAAGAAGGCAACGATAGAAAACAGTTTCAGAGGTTTATTTCAGAGCTCCTGGGTGAAATTCGTGGACCCCTAAATCAGGCCCAGAGAAATCGTGCCGCCTGGCAGGGAGGGGAGAGCAGAGAAAGGGATGGGAGCCTCCTGAGCTCCAGGGTGAGGTTCACAGGCCCCCAGTTGGGGCCCCAGGAAGATTGGGGCACTGTCCATGCGAGAGATGGAGAGTTTTATAGCCCGGGTGGGGGAGGGGAGCTGTGGAATTTTCCACTGCAACTTTGTTGTCTGCAGGCCCGGAGTTAAGCAACAGCTTACAAAGTTATCTGTAACGGTTAGTCTTCTGCACCTGGGCCTGAAGGCCACGAGTTAAGCAACAGCTTACAAAGTTATCTGTAACGGTTAGTCTTCTGCACCTGGGCCTGAAGGCCACCGAAGGGGAGGAGGAGGGAGGGAGGGGGTCTGGCCCCTTATAGCGTCCTTGAAGTGTTTTTACCAGCTCTATCTCCTAGCCGCCTGCCCTGCTAACTCCCGCTTCTGCCTGACACTGTTGACTCTAGAGGGCAGGCTCAAACTGCCTCTTCTGAGTTTCCAAGACTAACTGTGGGGGAGTAGCAAGCGCTGTCTTTCTTCCTAGGGAGTGGCTGGTTGTTTTTGAACTGTAGGCCTTTCTGATCGAAGCCCAAGGAGTAACCACTCCGCTACCAGTCAATCAGTGTAGACGACTGAGAAGGCTAGAGGGTTCAGTTTATGCCCCAGGCACAGCTGAAGCAGCAGTGAACTTTCCAAACTGGCTGAGCTCAGGGAAACGGTCAAATAAACCTTTGTTATTAAGCTGATAACAAATCAACAACCATATTAATTATACTCAAACCAAAATGGGTGTGTTTCGCTCACGCTCACCTCTCAACACTGTTAGACCTTTTGGGAGAGGTTGAGCAAACAGTTGGCTAATGAATCTGGAATTCAGGGAGGACCTGAGGTTGGGGTTGGAGATTTAACTTTGAAAATAGAAGCGTAACAACAAGAGATTGTTGAGGGGGAGTTGCATCCGCACACCGCAGGTCAGCAGTGGTTACCTTTCTCTAGAGATATATCCCATCGCCCTCACTCCCATCAGTTCTTTCTGGCTCTTAGATTTTTCTTCTTCCTAGAGTCTCCTGTCTTTGCTTGCCTTTGGATTGGAGCACTGTGATTCTGCAGTCACTGGAGGGCTTGGCTGGGTTTCAGAAACACAGTGGTCATTATCGTTTAGCCTGGCCGCTCCCTTTTCTCTGCCTCTGGCTGCAGCAGCGTTTTGATCTGCAGAGCATTTTCGCTCGGCCGCTTGAACACCCTCCGGTTTTGTGAGAACATTAAGCACGAGGCTTGCTCTGGGAAGGCTTGAGAAAGTGATTACAAAGAGCAGTGTAATCTGAAGGCACATGGCCGATTCACAGTTCCTTCTCCCTGTCACGTCGTCCTGTCTCCCTGTCCATCTCCCTGCCCTCGTCACGCCGAGTTTATCAACTTGCTCCTGCTGAGAACAACTTCTTTAGATGTAAGCCAGCACGTCTCTCTTCCCGTCACTAATATTTTTATACACTAACTAAAGCTTGTCGGTCATATCTGTTAGTTTGTTGTTATGCATCTCATTATTACAATGTTAACTTTTTTGATTTTGTATTTTACTGTCTTTTTAAATATTGATTTTCCCTAGTGTTGATACTGTTTGGGAGGAACACTGGTAATCCACAGCTTCCTAGTCTGTAAAGTGGGAAAAGAGTTGGTGTTTCAACTGGTCCTTCGTTTGCTTCTTTGCCTTGTGAAAACATGGGTCTCGGCAGAAGCTGCTGACAGCACTTGCAGTGGGACTAAGGTGCACACCCCGGGTCTGTTTTCCAGGAACACTTAACGCGAGGCCCAGGAAAGAGCCACTTTGTAATACTGCCAAAACCTATCTCAGAAAACACTCACTGGTACACTGGTACAGAGAGGAACTGAAAATACAGGGAATCCAGGACGGATGAGCCCTATAGGACCAGTGGTGTGAGTGGCGAAACAGGGAGGGTAAAGGGAGAATGGGTAGGAAAGAGGGAACCGATTACATGGAACTGTGTGTGACCTTCTCCCTGGGGGACAGACAACCGAAAAGTGGGTGAAGGGAGACGTCGGACAGGGCAAGATATGACAAAATACCCATTTATAAACTATCAAGGGCTCATGAGGGATGGGGGAGCGGGGAGGGAGGGGAAAAATGAGGACCTAATGTCGGGGGTTTAAGTGGAGAGAAAATGTTTTGAGAAACGATGTACAAATGGGCTTTACACAATTGTTGTGTGTATGGATTGGGATAACAGTTGTAGGAGCCCCTAATAAAATGTTAAAAAAAAAAAGAAAAGAAAACACTCACTGCCATCCATAGCAAGCCTATAGGGTGGGGTAGAACTGCCCCTCTGGGTTTCTGAGACTGTAACTCCTATGGGAGTTAAAAAGCCTGGTCCTTCTCCCTCGGAGCTGCTTATAGTTTCAACCCCCTGGCCTTGCAGTTAGCAGTCCAACCAACACAGAACCCACCATATTCTCCCAGGGTAGTGCAAATTCAGAATGGAGAAGCGAAAATACGATCAGATTGAGGCCTTTATTAATTTCGTTGAATAGAATAATGCACTTGAACCTAAAATGGAATCGTCTCAGTGTGGAGAGAAGTTTGCATGTTACTCTAAGAAGTTGCAGTTTTACCAGTTAGCTAAAATCTGCGAGAAGTCACCTGGGAGCCTGATCGCAGTTAGCGAGCGCCCAAAGGATGGGAAACACTGTCAGAACTTGTGTTTCACGGACCTTTCTTTTCTGCTCTCCCTCTGACCTGCTCCCTGGAGAAACAGGACTGCGGGAACAGCGACTAACAAGCTGTGGTACGCCTCTCTGTCCCTGGTGACACTCATCATGTACTCCATCGCCACCGGCGGCTTGATTTTGATGGCGGTGTTTTACACACAGAGAGAAGGCTGCATGGGAAACAAAATCCTCCTGGGCATAAATGGAGGTTTGTGCCTGCTTATTTCATTGATGGCCATCTCACCATGCGTCCAAAACCGTAAGTACGGCTTCCCCCAGTCTTCTTTTTTTCATACTGCTAGGTGGGTTTGTTTTTAGCGAATCCACTTGCTCTCACTTTGGAACATGGCTACGCCAGGGATGGGCAAGGGAACTCAGGCCGTCTCTTCTTCGTCTCCCACACCTGGGCGGCTGAGCGTGATAGTGAAGCCTGGGTCATGGAGTCTGTGGCCAGTGATAGTGGCCGTTTCGGGCAGCGTAGAGATTCCCCACAGGGTTTTTAGGCTGCGATCTTTTCCGAAACTTACTGCCACACCTTTCTCTTGCAGCATGTCAAAAAGAACCTATGAAGCCTAAACTTACATCCATAAATATCGAGATAGATCCTGCCACTCTTGAGTAATATACCACCCAAACCCCAACCCATTGCCATGAAGTCACTTTGGACTCAAAACCACCCGTTAGGGCATGGTAGACCCTCAATCTTTGCAGGCGGACAGCCCTCTCCTGTGGAGCCGCTGGTGGGCTCAAATCGATAGCCTTGTGGTGAGCCCGCCACCAGCTCTCTCCTGACATGGCAGTGTTTCCCTAATTGTCCACAGTGGCTTTTAAATGAAAAATGCTCAGCATGTATGTTAAGAAATGGTGTCCGTGAGCTCCCACATAATGTCTGTGTCAGAGTTTAGAGGCTTCTCAGAGCGATGTCTAGTGACAACTTTCACTCACACACTGTGGACCCGAGAGCAGGGGCAGCATGGTCAAGAAGCAGGAAATCAGATCCCGAGTCAGCCAGCAGCTGAAACTCTTCCTTAGACCCAGGTTCTTCCTCAGCAAAGCCTTCTAACTCTTAGAAACCAGTTGCTATTTATCACGATACAATGTAGAACATTCCTTTGTGGTCTGTGCTATTGCAATTGACCTAGGCTGTCTCAGAAGACTGGTCCTCAGCCCCTACACCGAATGACTCATTTCCTCAGTGTTTGCTTATCGCTAAGAAGTTTTCACAACTTTGCCCCATATGCTTTACTATATACATGGCTATATTTGCAGCACATACAGAAACATCTGTAGGAATATCCTATATTTAGGCTCACCTTCCTATACCTGTTCGGTTTTCCTGCCTGTCTGTGAATGCTTTGGGGTTATTGTATTAGTTCTTTTACAGAATTGTGTGTGTGATAGTATTTACCTTAGTTTAAGGTGACCAGATTTTAACATTGGTAAAGCAGGACACCATTGATAAAACTCATATCCTGGCAAAATAACCACATGGCAGCCGAAAACCGTATACCCTAGCTTGTTGTGCATTCTTTCAAAAAATCAGGACATTTTAAAAATCATTTTATTAGGGGCTCATACAACTCTTATCCCAATCCATACATACATCAATTGTGTAAAGTGCATTTGTACATTCATTGCCCTCATCATTCTCAAAACATTTCCTCTCCACTTAAGCCCCTGGCATTAGGTCCTCATTTTTCCCCTCCCTCCCCCCTCCCCCCTCCCTCATGAGCCCTTAATAATTTATAAATTATTATTTTGTCATATCTTCCCCTATCCAATGTCTCCCTTCACCCACTTTTCTGTTATCCGTCCCCCAGGGAGGAGGTCACATATAGTTCCTTGTAATCGGTTCCCTCTTTCCAACCCACTCTCCTTCTACCCTCCCAGTATCACCACTCACACCACTGGTCCTTTTTAAAAATGAAACGGGACACAGGAAAAATTGTTAAAAATCGGGACTGTCCTGCCAAAAGCGGGACATCTGGTCACCTTACCTTAGCTGCCTGTCACTCTTGTACAACTCTTAATGTCTCCGTTTGCCCTGGTTGTATTGTGCTGACTAAGGACAGTGAGATGCTGTAGCGCCATGGTTAAACACCAGACTGCTAACCTTGAAGCTTGTGGTTCTAGCCTACCAGCTGCTCAGAAGGAGAAAGATGTGTCAGTTTGCTTCCATAAAGATTTACAGCTTTTACTATTGAATTGTGTGATATGTGAATTAAGTGCCAATAAAACTTAGAGAAAGATTCATAGCTTTTGAAACCCTAGGAGGCAGTTCTTGACAGTACTGGGCTTTTTTGTTTTGAATGTATAGATGTGAATTATCCTTGATAAACGACTTTGAATGTCTTAGGACAGCACAGCCATGTGCTATCTTTGGGATTATAAACTCCGAAGTCTCTGGTCTCAGATTTCCTGTGTGTAGCTTCCTCTGCTTGCAGTGAACATGTGCCTGGCATTCAGGTTTCTACGCAGGAAAAGGGAATGTGGCCAATAAACATATACATATTTTCACATATAATGCACACACCTGTTGACTGTGCACAGGAAACTAAGCTGGAGAGGTGGCACGGTTTGCAAAAAATATATTATGCACTCAATGTGGTATCCCACTTGAATCCTTCCAAACGGTGTGAATCAAAAAGGCAATGGATTCCACATACATATACTAATCGTTTCAAAACTATTATTAAATTTGAGTATTGTCTCCCATCTCCTTCATATAATTAGGAATTAAAAAAAATAATATTCAGATTAAAATCACCTTTTGAGGTAGGCTCAATATTTTGAGATATTTGGATTAAAGTGATTAGTTGCGGAGGCCAGTCTTATTCTCATGCCCAAAGCAACATTCGTAAAGGGTTGGTTTCTGCTCTTTATTGGCAGTGAGAACGTCCCTGAATAGCACAAACAGTTCAGTTCTTGGCTCTTAACCGAAAGTTTGAATCTCCCCAGAAACAGCTGGGGACAGAGTCCTTATTCTGCTTCTGCCCGGGGCAGAGCTACTGCAGCCCTAGAGAGCACCGCTCTGCTCTGAGACGGTGAGAGCACGTGGTTCTCAGTTGACTTGACGGCCTCTGGTTCGGCGGTTTTCATTGGCAGTTAGAGTTGAATAATAGTTATTCTGTGAGCAAATTTGATCCAAGGGAAAACTGGATCAGATGGGATCTGTCCTTATATCTTTCCCTGCACTTTCACTGGAGGCCGTGGGGTCCGCAAGCTGAAGGAGTATCGGTGTGTTTGTTGGGGTGTCTGGTGTCTTCCTGAGGCACGAGTTTTCTAATCATTAAAATGTCTCTGTGTGTCTCTTGTGTGTGACAGGCCAGCCGCACTCGGGACTCCTGCAGTCAGGGCTCATAAGCTGCTATGTCACCTACCTCACTTTCTCAGCTCTGACCAGCAAACCTGTAGAGTTCGGTAAGCTGCCCTTGTTACTGAGCATGCGTGTGTGGATGCCCATGCCCATCTGTGGAAGAATGAATACATATTGACGAGGTAGTAACTGGAAAAAGATAGATGATTCAGGGATTTTCATTAAGGAAAGTCTTTAATGTGGGTGATGGAAACAAAAATTTCTTCTTTGGAGTCTTTGCCACTCACCATGTAAGAAAGCTAGGTGGAACTTCGAGTTTCTTTTAGGTTTAATCTATGTTTATAAAGGCATGGTTTTGTCTTGCTTTGCTTATTTTTGAAATATGGGTTATCATTTTAATGTTGTTCAGGTGGGCATTTTTCTGACTGTTCACAGAAGGAGTAGAAAGAAACATGGGTGTGGGAAATGTGAGTTGGGAGACAGGGTCAGAGCCCTGCTGTGCGATCTTGACCTGCCCATCTTAAATAACTTGTATTTACAGAACACAGCAGTCAGAGCGTGAGCTTTTGTGCCTGGGTTTGTGTCCTGGTCTTGACACTCAAGTAACTTAGCTTTTGATGCCTGTGTACCTCGTCTCGGAGTGAAGGGTTGTAATTTTAAGAAGAAAACTATTAAGTTATGTGTTTGCGCTTTGTGTGCATGTACATGCGTTCATGTATGGACGCATGCACATACTTCTAAACTAATGTCTGATGTGCTATCTAAGAATTAGCTATTACTATAGGGCAGTTGTGATGATCATTTGAGAAAAATTTTAAAGTGTGAACACTATTATAGTATTTAGAAGATATTGTGAGCCTGCTACATTAAAAGATGTTATACGCCCCTGAGGAGCCCTGGTAAAGTAGTGGTTGTAAGTTGGCCTGCTAACCTAAAGGTCGGCAGTTTGGAACCATCAGCCAGCTCCTCGGGGAAAAAGACAGGGCTTTCTACTCCTGTAAAGAGTTAAGTGTTGGAAATTCACAGGGGCGGTTGGACCCTGGAGTCAGAATCAAATCCTGAGTTTAATTTGGTTTATAAGCCTCTGAACATTGCCAATAAAGGGCTAAATTTTCTCATTTGAATCCCATTGAGTGTATTATCAATGTGCTTATTTTTGGTATGAAGTCTATGAATAGTATAAATAGTTAATGTGCTTGGCAACCTTTCAAAATGTGGGAGGTTCTAGTCTACCCTGAGGAGCCTCAGAAGAAAGGACTGGCCATTTACTGGGAATGGGGGTGGGGTAGAGGAAGCACCCAGCCACTGGAAACACTGTGGGCACAGTTCACCTCTGATACACGTGGAATTGCCACGAGTCTTGAGTGGATTCATCAGCAACTGTTTATGGCTGGGCATAATTGATTTTGTATAGATCAAGGTAAGTAAGTATATCTCTGCTCTAGAATTAAATCAAAATTGATTAGTACAGTTCCCCATATTAAATTTAGAAAGCAGATAGCAGATACAAAGATGTGGACCTTGTCTGAAAAGCTGTTTATAGTGGAAAGTGATGTAATTAGAGGCTTTTAAAGTTTATTTCAGTCTGCCCATAGGACTTACTTTTTTTGGCTTTTACATACTGATCTCTGGTTTTAGTGAAAGGGAGTTTATAACTATAGTAATATTATTTTAAAATGCAGGTAGTACTTAAAAACATTGGGGGGGAAGCCGAGATCTTGTTTCTAAGTCCAGATGGTGCTACTGAAATGGGAAAAAAATATTGTATTTTGGTTAATTACCAAAAAAAATGCTGCTAGGCTAAAATAAAAATCCCTAACCCACATCAGAAGCAGTTTCACTTTGAGTGTGCTTAGTATGTGCACATTTGCCAAATAGTTTTTAGAGTTATTCTATGTGGAGGCTCCCAGATTTGGGGGTTAGCTGGCAATCAAGCCTCACTTGGCTGTTCAAAATTGAAGATGACCACTAAATAAAAAGAAAATGCAGTTTACTACTCATGCTAACCTTTTAGAAATATTCATGAGGCAGCCTCCCAAAATTATTATTTTTTAAATCCAGACCTCTCCTTCAGGGAGTTCCTAAGTTCTTCGATTAAGATGCTGAAAAATATTTCCTTCCCTGAATTATTGGGCAGGTGGAGTGGCTTATGGAGCCTAAGACGTGAGTCCAATAATTATTTTCATGTCATTAATAAACAAACAATTATTAAAAACAAAAAGGTTCCTAAGTTATAGACTGAGGATACCAGGGCCGTTACACCACTTGGTTGGTTTCTCCTCTGGGAGGGAGGCTGTTGGATTGAGACCAGGCTAGACCACTGTTCTACTGCTGTTACATGGGCGGTTGTTAATTAGCCTCGACACTCCTCCAGAGAGAGTAAGTCACAGAAAAGGCTCTTAATTATCTGCATACTATTTTTCACTCACTACAGGCTGCTGAATCAACTGGGGGGAAAGGTGGATTTAGTTTGTTTGTTCTTTAATTGTTTGAAAAGTACCGTAAAAGAGCAAGCTGATTGGTGCAGCCCCGCTCCTGGAGACCCAGGATTTGTCAAAGTAGAACTGTGCTCCATAGAGGGTTTTCCGTGGCTGGTTTTTCCAAACTAGATTGCCAGGACTTCCTTGCAAGACATCTCTGAGTAGACTCGAATTTCTAGCCTGAGCACATTAAGAGCAAGGCTCTACATCCTGGAACTCTAGGGCCCATTAGGTAAACTGGAATCCGGGGCATGTTTGAAGAATGAGTCGATAGTAGAGGAGCAATGCTTTGAAATCTGCTGCAATTTGACCCATTAAAACAGTGTTTATGAAAGCGGTGGTACTGCCCCCTATGGTGCAATGGAAAAAATCTAGATGGGGTGGGGGTAGGGGCTACAAAAGCAGATGCCTACCCTTTATTCTGGTTCATGGGCTATATAGTACAACATTTTTCAGTTTCCAGGGGGCTATTATTCGTTTTTTAACCTGAAAAGGGGACTGTAGGACAAATAAATTTGGAAACTCATGCACCAGGGCAAGAGTGAAAATGTTGAGTAGAAGTTCCTAGTGTCCGTCTCCATTCTACTGAGACGGTCCGCTGAAGCAGTGTGTCTCTGCAGAATGAGCGCTTTCCCCATTTGACTGCGACCTTTGTTTTTCTGTAGATCTGGATGAACATGGGAAGAACGTCACAATCTGTGTGCCTAACTTTGGCCAGGACCTGTACAGAGAGAGGGACTTGGTAACTGCACTAGGTACCACCCTCCTGATTGGGTGTATCCTCTATTCCTGGTAAGTCTTGGGGAGGTATCCGGCCAACTTTGCTGACTTAGAAGTAGGAAAAGAATTTGAATAAACTTCAGCACCTGCAAAGCCACAAAGCACATATCCTCGGGGGTGGGGTGGGGGGACCGTGCATGTTTTGGTAACTGTCTGATTGATGGGAAATCACCTTTGTGCAGCCGTAGATGGAAAGAGTACAAAGCTACTGTCTACACCATCATTTGTCCGTGGTCCCTGAATGACAGAAAACGTCCCTTTTCATTTATGCTCACACCCTTGATGCTAGTGCAGTGCAGGGCCCGCAGCCCTTCCCGCAGTAGGTGGGACCTACAAGGATAAGCAGGCTGGATTTCAGGTGCTTAGTGTGGAGTAAGGGTGGTGGCTTATTCTACCTTAAAAATACGAAAGACTGCTGAAGGGAAAAAAGAAAGGAAGAGAATGATTAGTTCTTTATTTGGGGTGCGTTTTTCACTGATCATTGTTTCTTTTAGGAACCTTTCCCATTTAGATTTTCTCTCTGTGGGGATTTTAGGAGGGGGCTGCATTTTGGTGTATGAATTCATCCCAGGTAGTGAGAACTTATATAGATAAAAAAATTTCTCATTTAGCTTCCAACGCCTCCTACTGCCAGAAAGGAAGCAACAAAGGCACACACACATATTGTAGCGGTGGGTGAGCGAGCTGAGTTTTAAAGGTGCTGGCTAGTGTTGCAGGTTGGTATTAAGATAAAATTGTTGTGTAAGGCTGATTCTGGGGGCTGTTTATGACCTTCACAACGGACTCTCCTTATTGCATCGGGAGGTCCATGGTTGATTGTGGCCTTTTTAATTGTTGTAGTTTTTAATGGCCGTTTTATGATCTCCATAAATTTTTCCATTAGCACCTACAACATATGGAGTACTAATGATGAAGGCAGGAGCCCTGGGTGGTGTAGTGCTTACACATTGGGCTGCGGTCTGAATGGTCGGCAGTTCGAAACCATCAGCAGGTCCATGGGAGGAAGACTGGGCTTTCTACTCCTGTGAACAGTTACAGTCTTGGAAACCCATGGGGGTCACTATGAGTCAGCGTTGACTCAATGGCAGCGAGTTTGGTTTTCGTTATGTGAAGCAGTGATTGTGTGTGGGTGGGTGGGGGTGTAGGGGGGTGAGGGGAGGTGGGCATTCCAGGCCAGGCCCGGCCCAAGTCGGTGGTGAATATTTTCAGAGAGACTATAAAGCCATCAAAGTTGGAATCTTGGTTCACAGCTCTTCCTTTCTTGAGTAGGCCTTTCCTTCCTGACTCTGTTGTTGTCAGGCTTGAGGGGAAGTCTCAGAATTTGTCTCTTCGTTTTGTTCTGTGTTAGCATGGGAAACCATGTCTTCTTAATCTGTATACTTAATAATATTTTATTTTAACAACAAAATGTGTTCATATTTGGAAACAAATCCTAGGAGATGATCAAAAATGTCATTGTAGTGCTAATAAGAATAACATCTCCTCTCCACCTGCCTTTTTTCCTCCATTATTGAAAAAAACATTTATAATAAGCTTGCCTTTTTGTGTGTGGTTGTTTTTATACTTTCATTATCAGAAAAAAATGGAGGAGGTATATGGTGGTATAAAATCGTGTGTTTTTTTGTGAGTGGCTGGATGACTAACAGTAAGTATGTGCAGGAAAATTTATAAATGAAAATTGTGACAAAAATTTTCAGAATTTCCACATAAGCACTTATCCTGTGGCATGGGATTTTCACCCAATCAGATTTGCAGTGTTTCTAGCAGGTGTAAAAATTCACCTTTTTTGAGTGAGAGTGAAGATCAGGGGGCTCATTTCAGCGTGTAGAGGCTCCATAGCGCCACTTGGCAAAGTCTACTCTAGCGTCCTTGAAAGCTGTTCATTTCCAAGACCGATAGCTGCGGTGTAAATTCTGTCTGAATGCCCATAAAAAACATTGCTATCTAGTGTGGTAATTAAGCTGCAAGACTGGTGTCCAATGGAATGAGGGGATGTAAAATAGCAGCTTGCCCAGAGTAGAGCTAAGATAACCAGTTCCGTTCCTTTGTGAGCTACGATCCTACTGATGGGCCGGTTATTCCTCCCAGGAGTCAGCGAGGGTCGCGGGGCTGGGTGACTGCCTTTTGCTATAATCAGCTGCAGCGCCAAGAGTTAGCTCTGAGGTCTTCATAGCTGAAGTGTCTTTGAGGTCTTAGGAAAGCAGGTTCAGGCTCAGTAGGCTCTTGAACAGAGGCTGCTGGTGGTGAGAGTCACCAATTTTAGGGTTTTTAAGTTTTTTTTGACAGAAAATACCAAAATACTTAAGATTAAATGTAGAAGGGAGAAGAATTATGTATCTCCCTCTTTAAAAAAAAAGGTAATACTTTATTGTGTTTTAAGTGAAGACTTATATAGTGGTTTAGACTCCCAGTCAACAATTTTTATATAAATTGTTTTATAAAAGGAGCATTGGTTACATTCTCACGGTGTGAATATTTTCATTATTTCCATCTGGTTGTTCCATTTTCATTAACCTGGTGTCCCTGCCCCCTTGCATTCTCATCTTTCTTTTAAAATAATGGCAGACCATGGGGTCTCATGGGTGATTTTCCTTTGTTTAAGAGCATAGTATACTTGAGTGATATGGATTATTTTTTGAGCCAATTTGTTATTTGGCTACAAGGTGACCTCAGGGGGGTAGTTTCAGTTTAAGATTTGAAGAATCTCTCAGGGCAATCTCTCTGGGAGCCCACTGGTCTCAACCAGTCCAGTAGGCCTGGTTTGGGTTTCTTAAAGGGATTTGAGGTTCTGTTCCTCATTTTTCTCCTCTACCACCATGGTCCATCTCTTGTGGCCCTTTTAGAAGGATGGAAAGTGGTAGCCAGGCATTATCCAGTTCTTCTGGTCTCGAAGTATATGAGTCTGTAGACTAGCTGCTGCTTTGAGTTTTGGGTACAAATCATTTGTTTTCAGTGAAAGCTGAAGCTCTTTGGGGTTGGCATTTTTCTGTGGATCTGGAGAGATCATTAAGCTTCCTTGCACTCCTCCGTGAGTCACTTTGACTCCGCATGTCACACATTTCGGGGTCTCATGGTGATAAAAGGCTGGGCTTGCTAGAGAAGTAAAACCAGTGGCTATATGTGTATGTGGTGTGTGTGTGTGTGTGTGTGTGTGTGTGTAATTTTCTATTTTTATATATGTAAGATACTCAAGAAAGTGGCTCACACAGTTGTAGAGTGTTTAAATCCAGTTCATGGATCAGAAGTTAAGCTAGAGGCTTTTTCTGACTCGTGTAGCTCTAAGGATAGACAAACCAGAAAACAGAAAGACCGTGGGCTGGTGCATGCAGAGTCTAATGAACCCAAAGTTAGGCGACCTGCCAATAGCTCCCAGGGTTGGTAGGCCATTTGGCAGGCTGTTGGCTCAAGGTCAAAGAAACAAAAGTCAATGAACCAGATACGGGTCCAGACCCGGCCAAAGGGAGCTTACCTTCCCCACAACATCAGTGTATATAAGCGTAGGTCACACCCCCCAAGGAAAATTTTCCATTTGATCAAGTCTGTGACCTGATTAAGGTGGTAGAAATCCACCCTAATCTTTCCGCAACTACTTGGCTGCTCACAACAGATCCCATCGTGAAGTTGTTTCCATCATGTTAGATGGTATCATGGGAGAGACCCCACCTGCCAAATTACTGAGAAAACTGGTCCGGCCAACTTGACAAAACACCTATCACGACCCACATGGCCTCTCTCTGACTGGCGGTTCCAACCCCTATTTCCTGGGACTGTCAGTATATTTCCCTGCATTTCTGCCTTGAAGAAGGCTCCAGCCCCAAATCCTATGCCCCAGCTTTCAGCTGCCCTTTCTCTAAAGCCCGTTTCATTGCCCCCAAACATGATTACTCCACACCTTATTTCATCTACCTGTAGAAAAGCAGGCTCTCACTTCTCCCCGCCCACCACCACCCCCACTCCCCACACACACACTCGTAGACATGGATCCTTGCTGATACCCCATCTCTGATCTCTGGATTACGTTTGGTATTGTCAGTCTACTAGCTTCCGTTTTAAGCTCAGTCTGACAGGGAAGGACTTGGAGGCCATTGAGTTCAGTCTCTTCCTTGCACACTTGAGGTGACTGAGGTGTGCAGCCCTTGGCCTTAGCCTTCCACCCCCAATTTCAGGAAACCTCTACATCTGGTCTCCTCTGCTGGGACCGTCCGGAGAGACCGGTTGCTGGTTATTTTTTCCTGAAGTGACTGCAATGTAGAGTCCTTCTGAAGTGGAAAGACTTACATCAGTCCAGGACTAGTCAACGTACGTGCTGCGAAAGGCTCCTGGCTGTTTCGGTTTTAACCATGCTTAAGAGAGAAAAATTAATCAGTGGTTGAAGCTTTGCAGGGTAAGATCCTAATACCCTTTAAACATTAGCTAGTTCAAAAATGGAACATTCACAGCAATGTAGCAAGGCGTGTGAAAATAGATAAGGGCTGGTCCGATGACCTGGGGAGAAGATCAGCCTAAACTGAGAAAAATCTGGCAGATCAAAACCCTAATCCAAGCTCATTGAGTCTGTTCCGACTTACAGCAATCCTGTGAGGCAGGGTAGAATTGCCCCTGTAGGTTTCACAGACACATTTTTTCCCACAGGAATAAAAAGCCTTGTTTTACTCCGGAGGTGTGGCTCGTGGTTTCAGACTGCTGGCCTTGTGGTTAGCAATCCATCACATAACCACTAGACCACCAGGGCTCCTCAGCAGATCAAAGGAGGAGGATTTGTTCTTTTATCTCTTTAATCATTTTTAATGGGAGCTCTTACAGATATCGTAACATCCCATAGTTCAATCACATCAAGCAGTATTGTACAGTTACTACCACAACCGGTTTTGAAACATTTTCTTTCTTCTTGAACTCCTGATATCAGCTCCCCTTTATCCCCCACTCCCTCCCAGGAACCCTTATTTATTTATTTGTTTGTTTATTTTTTTCTGTAATAGTTTCGGGGTGGTGGTGGTGGTTGTGCCACATCTTACACCATCCAGTATATCCACGCACATACAATTCTGTTGTTTGATCCCATGAATGGGATTCTGCAGTCATCAATGTTTTCAGTTCCCTATCCCCAGCCCCACTCCCACCTCTCTTCCTGTACCCTCATGGCACATGGTTGGGTGTCATCCATTACATAAAAGCTGGAAACAGCCACAGCCTGGCCCTGCAGATTTGTTGAGGGCCGGGGAATCCATGATTTCCAACAGGAAAGTTTGGATGTGTTCTTTAGATATTTTCTGTAACCCATGACACTTGAACCAGCCCCTAAGCAGCCAAAACAGTACCCAGTTACTCTGCTGAAGGAGATGGTCAACTGCAGGACACAGAAGGACCACATTGGCCCCCAAACAAAAGTCAGGCGGCGGGAAGGAGGACAAAGAAGGATTAAAACGGGGGACCCAGGGAAAAGGCGGGAAGCATGCTATCACCTCGAGGGAGCTGCAATTTGCTACAACACAAACTGTGTGAACTGGCTAACTGACTTGCTTTCTCAACCGGCACCCAAACCACGACCAAAAAAAAGCAGCGGAAGCAGGTGTGTAGGGTAAGGTGACCAGAAGTCCCGCTTTTGGTGGAACAGTCCTGCTTTTTGGCATTTTTTAAAAGTCCTGATTTTTTGAAAGAGTGCACGACAAGCTAGGGAAGGTCTATTTGGTCCATATAGAACAAATTTTTAATCAAGAACACTCCCCCCTCCCGGTCAATGGTGTCCTGCTTTAAATCTGGTCACCTTAGTAGGGCCACCTGCCTTCCCCGTGAATCGTTCTGCCAAAACGATGCAGTCTGGGGCAGGGTAGCGATGCGCAGGTGTTGGTGGGGGAAAGGCAGGCATAGTTTTGTATTGGCGTGTTGGCATGGTGGGGCCAAGGCTACTCAACACTGCGTTGTGTGAGACTTCCCAGCACGGGGAAGCCCCTCATACAGCTTGCTGGAGGACGGACCAGGAAGACCAAAGAAAGACGGATTCACCTGAGTTACGGTGCTGGCAAAAAGTACTGAAAGTAACAGATTTCCAAAAGAACAAACAGATCACTCTTGGAAGAAGTACGGCCAGAATGCTTCCTAGAAGTGAGGGTAGTCAGGAGGGGCGAGGGCCCTGCAGAAGGACATCCTGCTCAGTGGAGCATCAGCAGGAAAGGGAAGACCCTGGATGGATGGACACAGTGGGGGTCCCATGGGCTCACACATGGGAAAGGTTGTGTGGCCAGTGGGGTTGCTATGCAGCAGTGTAGATAACATCACTCACCGTTGGTGGCATGAGGCGGGATGAGGAGAGGGACAGTACCATCAGGCACAGCCACAATGGGTGGCTCCCCAAGGGACTTGTGATTGCCTTTTAAAATAATCCCTAGGAGGCTGGCTGCAAGTGAATCCAGCTAGTCAGGGTTAAGTGGAAAAGGCACCTGGTCCTTTCTCTAAAGGACAGTTGTTTAGCTCTGGAACCCTCTCTGGGGGAGGAGTGTGGGGAGGGGACCTCTTGAAGCCCTCCCTGTTTACCAGGTGTCAAGGCAGTGTTCATTGTATTCCCAGTTGCTTAAAATATTCCAGGTTTTTGTTTTGTTTCAGAAAGAAAAAAATAACCTCCCTTTAGCTCCCATACACCCCAATTTATTTAAGTTGAACGTCCATTGCTGTCAAATTGATTCTGATTCCTCAGTGACCCTGTAGACAGGCCACAACAGACACATGGGTTTTCAAGGCTGGGCTCTTAGTGGATGTTTTTCTCCTGAGGAGCAGCTGGTGGGTTCAAACTGCTGACCTTTTGCTTTACAGCCCAGAGCATGGGTGTTTTCTCCCCAGGACCCCTTTGTACCTCTCTGGGCACTAGGAGAACAGTTAGCAAGGGATGTCATCACACTGTTGATTTTCAAACAGGAAAATGCATTATGCCCTTGGCTGATTATCCCTCAGTAAACAATGGTGACCTTTGCCTTTTATTGCCTTCTCTGGGTCCTTTGTTGGTTTTTTTTTTGGGGGGGAGGGGGAGTCCCCCTCTAGTGAAGACTAGTCTGAAAGATAGAAAAGATAAAAGTTACATCAGAAAAATTCTTTTGGCATTGGATGGAGGAAAGCTAACCCCAGGGGTGGAAGCCAAGATAGAGGAACAGGAATGACTGACTTCACTTCCCGCAGACTCCTCTCTGCTGAAAATGACCTCATGCCATCTGCAGCAAAGCCGTCCACGAGAGTTGGCAGGCCAGCTCTGGAGCTAGCGTGCTTTGCTTTGCTTTGCTTTAAGCAGCTAAGCTCTGCTACCTTGGCTTCAAACATGAGTCGGGCAGCGCCCCCCTTCCCATGTGCCCTGATGGTTTGTTCGTTTGTTTATAGCTTGACCTCCACAACAAGATCCAGCTCTGACGCTCTGCAGGGCCGGTACGGGGCCCCTGAACTAGAGGTGAGTCCCTTTCTCCCGAGGGTCCTGCTGTCTGCCAGAAGACTTTTCAGGAAGGCCTTTGGTGGTATTTGTGCCTTGATTGATTTGCACTCTGTGGTCCTGTTTTTCTCCTTGGAAAAGAAGAAGAAGATATTTAAGAGATCATGAAATGTTATCTCCCCACACAAGGTAGGGCTTCAGAAAGTTCAGGGGGGAAAAATCTCATTGTTTTTTCCCACAAACATTTTTTGGAGCCCCCACTATCTAGATCTACCCTACTCTTTTTCTCTGATGTGTGTGGGGTGGGTTATTTGTTTACTTCTCTATTGATTTATGTATTTCACAATGAAGGGCCATTTGTTAAGGGTCTGTGGGAATTGGCAAGGGGGGTGGGGCGGGGGCACAGAGACATCCTCCCTGGTCTGCTTGGAACCATCTCCTACTTGGAGCAGAATTCTGCCCCAGCCGTGGGTCTTCCAAGCAGCTAAGCCAGAGGGCCAAGGGACACGTGTACGTTTTAACTTCAGGTCTGTTCACCTGTTTTACCCAAGTCTGTGCCCTATGCAGTGTGTCCATCACTGTCTGAGGGAGAGAGACGGGGCGGAGGGGGAGCCGGCGTCGTACCCTTTCTGCTCTCTGCCTGACATGGCAGTGAACATTCTACATGGATATTCCTTCCTCCCTTCCTTCATTTTGCTGCACAGCAGTTCCTGAAAGGAGACAATCCCAGCCCCATCCGAGCCCCAGCGCTCTGCCCCCAGGGCCTTTTGGTCCTTGCTGTGGACCCTGCGTGGCCACAGCTTCCTCTGGATAGAGGAGCCTTGTGAGCTGCCTGTGGGGTCACTGTCCTCTGCAGCTGGCTCTCTGGGATGGCCATTCCCACACCTGATGTAAGGACAGTGAACTCTCCAGGCAGGGCTGTAAGCCAGCCAGCATCGTTCACCAGCAACTTCTGTCGCTGAAGAAAGGCCGAAAGAGAACCAGCTTTGTTGCTCTCACCCCTGACTGTGCGGCCACCTGCTGTGGTTGGCTGAGACCCCTTTCAATATCTCTGTTGTGCACAGTGTGGACGCTCAAAGAGCAAGTCTCTAAGTTAGATTTGAGAGCAGGAAGTGGGCATTTTTTTCTTCTACTTGTTCCAAGGGAAAATAAACATCCCTGAGAGAGGATGCAGAAAAGGAAGGTGGCGTGTTCTCCCTGCATCCTGTTTCGGGGACCCACCTTTGAAAGAGACAGTGAATAGTTTCTCACGGCAGCTGGAGCCGCAGAAGGAGGGGCCTCTGAGCAAGTGAGGTCTGGCCCAGTGAATGAGTGGTGGAACGTTGCGCCCCGGAACTGCAATTCTGTCTCCGCTATTGCCTGTGTGACAAGCTTGCCTGCTGTGCGAGGCGGAGGCACAGGCAGACGCCTGCCTGGACATGTGTAACTGGGCCGAGGGTTCCCACACTGCCACGGCCTTGGTGTGCTCTGTGCTTCAGCCCCAAAGTGCCAGGGATCCAGCTCTTGCCTTCTTGGCACCTGCAGTGTCTCCTACCCTGTGACCAGAGCCCTTCAGGAAGTGGTAGTGAGGTTTGTCACACTGGTATTTGAAATAACGTTTACTGACTTGAGTAGAAACATGGTATGGAATGCTAAAGGTGCCGAAGGCTCGCCAGTGGCCAGCCTCCCATCCACCCCCTTCCCGGGCGGCTCCCTTCTTTCCCCCGAGGGAACAGGAGGCTGTCCATGTGGGCTGCCTCCCAGGGCCTCCCCTTGTACCTTTTCCACTGGCACCTGCGCCCCCATCTCCCAGAGAGCACGTTTCCCCAGTAGACCAGCGACCTTGGAGCCGCCGCCGTTTGTGTACCAGCTGTCACCAAGCTAGTTGTGTGGTCCCAGGACAGTTATTTGACCTGCCTTACCCACGTTTCCTCCCCTGTGAACAGAGTTAGAGCCCCAGCCACAAAGGTTTCAGAGCACTTAAGGAAATCGCACATTAAGCAAAGCACCAGAAGGGAGCAGGGACCTCTCTCGCTGACTCCATGTTCAAGGCGGGGCCTCGATGTGCAGGGTGTGTCTAAGGATGGAAGGGGGAAGAGGGTGATGTCAAAGGGCAGTACCAGCTGAACGAAGGCTTTGCCAACCTCGTGGAATGCTCTGGAGCAGTGTGGCCACGCCATTGGGGTTGTCCAGTAGCTGGCCATAGCAGCTGGGCCTTGCATGTGGGCTGCCGAGCAAGGGTTTTACTCCAAAGTGAAGCAACTCTGCAGCTGAGGCCACGCGTGAGGAGCTGGAGAGGCTGCTGCCAGCACCCGCGTGGTCAGCAGGGTGCGCTAGAACAGGCCCTTCCTGGAAGGGGTGTGGGCAAGCGGCCCTCATGTTCTTCGCGTTTCCTGCCGCTGGTACCCAGAACAGCCCATGGAAAGACTAAAACGGGCAGGTCAGAGCCTGAAGTACAGTTCCCATGGGTGACACATTGACACATAAGGACCTTTGTTGTTGTTAGCTGTCGTCCAGTCAGTTCCAGCTCACGGTGACCACAGGTACGACAGAGTGAAATCCTGTCCCGCCCAACACCACCGTCACAGTTGTTGGTATGCGCAAGTCCGTGGTTGGAACCCACTGTGGATTAAGAGAGAGTTGATCGGGTTTGGCATGAACTCGTTTTGTTTATCACAGGTCAATTAGTGCAAGGCATGCTGGTAAAACGCCACAACAACATTCATCCAGAACCAGAGAATCAAAATTGACCGTCATGACTACAGTGTTAGCTCATTGGCTAAAGTCCACATCTTTGGACTTCAGGCCTCAACCATGGCTCATACTCAGCGAGAGGTCTCTTGTAGCTAGTGTCCAAGGTTGGTGGTGGCAGGCCAAATCTGTTCCTTGTCCGCCTCCCCTCAGTGAGTGAGCGGAAATTTCCTGTCTGTTTAGTAAAGCCTGCAAGATCTGTAGCCTCTGTAACACGGACACTGTGGGAGAAGGAAAACGCAACTCTTTCCCACGAAGAGAGAATAACGGAGAAGTGTCAAATTGCCCCCTCTCTATCAAAGGTGGAACACTTGTGAGAGCCGGGAAACCAAGGCAGCCTCATCAGTTGTGGTTCTTACAGGTTTGACAGTGTGGACTTGTCAGCCTGGCGCTGCCTGACCAGGGCCAGTGTGGCAGCAGCCCCATGCACCCACTGCTGTCAAGTCAATTCCGACTCACCTCCCTGCCACCCAGTTGATGCCAGCTCCTAGCGACTCAGGTGACCCATCATAAGGACAGAGTAGGACTGCCCCTTTGGGTTTCCAAGATTAAATCTTTATGGGAGCAGACTGCCTCTGGCTGGTGGGTTCAAACCACTGGCCTCACCGTCCAGTCTGGTGCTTGACCCATTGTGCCACCAGGGTTCCTTGTGACATCAAAAGCTAACGTTATAGTTTGAGGGTTAGAAGGCAGCCAGATGCCTCATCCTTTATTCAAGGTCAGAGAAGGTGATTTAGAGATGAGCTGTGGCTGATGTCTGCATGTGCCACCGCATGCCTGGTCAAAGTGCACATCCAGGGGGTTTATGCTCTTGACATCCTTCCCAGGCTTCTGTGCCCAAGTTCAGAAACAAAGAGCATTTAAGGACTAAGATTTCTGATGTTAGAGCGCCTCACAAAGGGAGGCATACTTATCTTTTTCACATCATGAGCGCACATTTGCACATATTTTGAAAGCGTGGTAGCGTCTGATAGCTTACGAGGTGGGACATCATAGCACCAGGCAGAGCGGCAGCATGCAGTCCACTACGGGCTGACACACTGACCGGCAGCGGGTGGAGGGGCTGTTAGTGCTTTCTGCGTGTGGAGAAAGGAAAAGCCAAGAAGAAAGCCATTCACGGGGGTCACCTTGCCTTTGCAGGTAGCTCGGTGTTGCTTCTGCCTGGGTCCTAAAGGAGAGGGTGAGTAGAGGACATCTGTGTGTCTCCCTGCACCGGCCCCCCACACTCCCCCCACCCCCATCCTTACCACCGGGGATCTGCTTCCTTCCATTCTGCAGGCAATTGGATGTCAGAAACACCTAACTTCACTAGGAGGGTGTGGATGTGCATTTCACATTCTTCCACAAGGACTCGGGACCCCAGGGTGTGTGTGTGTGTGTGTGTGTGTGTGTTGATATTCTGGCAGGTGGCAAGCAGTCTCTACTTTGTCTCATGTTTGAGTTAAACTCTACAACGAGATGTTGAGAAGCTGACAGTATGTATCTAAAGGAACAATTTGGGAAACACCAAGAGGTCCTGACAGCTAACTTGGGGGACCATTTCCTCTTCTTCTGCCTGCTCTTCTTGAGTTGAAGGACCCCAGGGACTTGGGAACTTCCTGTATATTCTCTTTTTCTTTTTAGCTTTCTAATTTTTATATTTTTAAGGGCCCACGCTGTCCTTTGCGCTGTTAAAATAAATGAGGTGTTAGGGAACTTGCCCTGTTTTGGGAGGTGCTGGGGTACCGTGAGGGTCTTCTGTGTATAGCAAAGATAGAAGTTGCTGGGGATACAAATGATTCTTGCCATCTGATTGAAATTAGGGGGTGCGGTTTTGCTGAAATAACAAGCGTGCCTGCACACATCCCTCCACTTGTGCTTTCCTTCTGTGACCCCCGCAGATTCAGAAGATCAGCAGACTCTGAAAGAAGGGTCTCGGGTCATTTATGACGAGAAGAAAGGCACCGCCTATCTCTACTCCTATTTCCACTTCATGTTCTTCTTGGCTTCCCTCTATATGATGATGACCGTCACCAGCTGGTTCAAGTATGTGGCCCGTTTCCTTAGACGCTTCTCAAGGGACAGTACTAGAGGAAACAAAAATGGTCTGGTTTAGTTTCTCTAAGGTTCTGAGTCACAGATGGAATCTCCTAGAGTAAACGAAACTCTTCAGGCCAACATCAGCCTTCTCACGCTACCCTCAGGTTTTCACTGGCCTTAGATTGCTGGTAGCGGTTTGCTGATGCCAGATGGATCTGCCTGCAGACGGAGAATACCAGAAAGATATTTGCCTGTGTTTTATTAATGATCCTAAAGTATTTGACTATGTGGATCATAACACATTATGACTATGGTGAGAAGAATGGGAATTCCAGCAGAACTCTTTAATTATGCTCATGCATAATCTGCACATAAACCCAAGAAGCAGGGATGTGAATGGAACAAGGGGATGCCGTGCAGTTTGAAACCACAAGAGGTGTGCCCCAGGGTGGTTACCTTTCTCCATACTCAGTCTTTATGCAGAGCAAGCAATTCAAGAATTGAGGAAGAATAATTAACAACCTGCAGCACACAGGTGCCACAATCTTGCTTGTAGAAAGTAAGGAGGACTTAAAGCACTTACTGATGAATTGCAAAGACCACATCAATGCTATCCATTTGCCATGACACTGCTTACTGGTCCCAGTTAGGAGAAATTTTGTTTTCTTTATGTGGAGGTTCAAGCTGTACTGAAGGTCATAGTCTTTGCCCTTCATCAGTAACAGTAGCTCCCTAAGAGGAACAGACAGTTGTTAGGCACTTGGTCCACTGGCTACAATGTTGGAGGCTGAAGTCCACAGAAACACCTTCAGAGAAAGATCTGGTGATCTACTTTTGCAAAATCAGTCTTTGACAAGCCTTTGGGGCACACTCTTCTGACACCCAGGGATCCCAATGAGTTGGAATTTACCCAACAGCAGCTAGTTACGTAGAGGGTCATTCCTTTTGCACAGTTCATGGTTTCTGTTCCCTCACATCTCTTCAGCGTCGCACAGAGCTAACGAAAGGTCAAGGAAATGTCTCATGCGGTGGTGGGTGCAGTTCATTCCAAAGTGCAAAGGTCAGGCAGGGGTGAGCCGCATGCTGAGATTTGGATGTGCTCCACTTCTGGCTCTTGTAGGTGATGATCTCACACACCCCCTGCTCCCTGCTGCTCAGTGGACTCATTTTATAGGCAGCAGGATGGCTTTGCAGGGAATCCAGGCAAATGCTATCAGTATCTTCCTCCACCGTCTCATCAGTCGTTTGGTGGGAGTTACATGGTGCAATCAGATTTCGCCCAAATGTCATAATCTATTTTCCACCCCAGGATTGTATCTTATTTATGCATATATGACCTGGGGCCTCTGGCAAGATGTCTCCAGTAGGCATTGGCCTCCTAGTGATCTTCATCAGGCAGGCTTTTTCCCAGGCCACTGCAGAAACAGCTTTCTTTCTCCTCTCAGCTGTAGTGTGTAATTCATCACATCCATCGTAAGTAATAGTGACCAAGAGCACCATTGAGTAAAGAGCTCGCTCTATCCCATTCCTCTTTGTTAGCAAATACAAGCTCCCGAATGGGGCCACAGCCACAGCCCTTTGAAATCCAGCATTGTTTCATCTCACTTAGGAAGCCCACTCCTGGGTCTATACCCAAGAGAAATGGCAAATCCATAACCTTGTACCCGAATGCGCACAGTGGCACCACTCGTCACTGCCAATGAGTGAAGTCAGCCCAAATGTCCATCAGATAATGAAGGTATAAGCAAACTGTGACCTCTCCATGCAGTGGGATATCATCTGACCCTCCAAGGGAATGAAGTCTATTATGTACGTGCTGGAATCTTGAAAACGGCATGCTAACCGACAGAGGCCGGTCGCAAAAGTACACTTACAGGATTCCGTCTACACGAACTGTCCAGGTCATACAAAGTCCTGGAGACAGGAAATAGTGGTTTCCAGGGAGCAAGGGCTGCAGGGGTGCAGTCTTTCTTTTTAGGGTGATGAAAATGTCCTAAAACCGATCGTGGTGATGCTGATAGGAAGCCTATGACCATACTAAAAGCTACTGAATTACGCCATTTAAGCAGGGTTGACTACAGAAATCCAGAGACACTCATGTATGCATAAGAAAGAGCTTTATATCAAAGAGTAATTATATATTAAGAAAACAGCCAAGAGCAGATCAAGTCCCTAAGTCCAACACTAGTACATAAATTCCTCCTCAGACACACAGCACAGGTAATGATGCAAAATGCAGGAAGATCACAGGCCAGTGGGTGTGAAGTCTTGTGGATCCAGTGGCTGTGGAAGCATGGCCAGGGCTCTCACAGGTCTGATATGAAGCCTCTGACCATACTAAAAGCTACTGAATTAAGCCATTTAAGCAGGTGAAGTGTATGGGACCTCAATTAAATGCGTTTTGTTTTCTAAAAAGAAAGGATGGGCCGTAGTGGAAAGCACGGGGAGAGTTAATGTCAGACCTTCTCCCCCCTCCCCCCCACCCCCCCTTCCTGCTGTGACCCCGCCTGGCCTCTTGTTTCCACAGCTATGAAAGTGCCAAGATCGAAACCTTTTTCCACGAGAGCTGGTCCATCTTCTGGGTGAAGATGGCCTCCTGCTGGATGTGTGTGCTGCTCTACTTGGGCACGCTCCTCGCTCCCCTCTGCTGCCCCACGCGGCAGTTTTCCGTGTGACCATCTCAGCAAAACCCTGCGTCTGGCACCAGCTGCAGCCCGGAGTGATGTCCTCTGAGCCAGTGTCCCCATGCTTACAGAGTGACCACTGCCCGCTGAAAAGCTGACCACCCCAGACTGACCAAGAAGCTTCCAGGAAACAAAACGAAGCAACAACTTTAGATTAGCTGTTCAATTATGGAATTGGGAAAGAAGCTACCCGTTTCTCCCAAGGGAATTTAGACCAAAGGGATTGTGCCCGTCATCTCCCCCAGAGAGTGGGATCGGAGTTAGGGTACTGTTCTCTGTGAATGTTTCGGGCACAACACCCCCTCACAAGGAAAGACACCTTTGTTTGCAGCTTCTCCTTTCTCATCCTGAGAGCAGAAAGCACGACAACCTCCCGAGCCCTGGGTTCCTGGCAGAACGCAGGCCGCCTCGAGCACCCGGGGCTCCGCAGCCTGCGGGGTCTATGGGCGGCCACCCTGCTCACGTCTCTGGCCGCATCGCCACAGGGCCGGCAGCAGCACCTGCTCTTCAGCCCCTTCCTCCATGCCATTCCTCTCTGCTCCTGAAGACCCCCTTTGAAGCCGTGGTGCTGGGAATCACACACTGCATTCACTTTGGTCCTTGCCTTTCCCAGAGGCGCCCTGAGCTTCTCCGGGCTCAGTGTCTTCAACATAATGTGAAAAAAGCACAATTTGCCATCACCCTCCCCGGTGAAACCACCCCCTACCCCCCTGCCCCAGATCGCCACTACTTGATCTGTGTTACTGCAATAATTATGACTCTGCTCTGTGCTGTCTTCCCGGATAATATTCATGCTGTTTTCTTCCGCAGGCTATAATCCTGAATGGTTTGTGCTGTTAGTAAGAATCACACACTAAGGACCTTCATGAAAAGCCCCTTCTCTTCTGAAGCCTGCTACACCCCTTTCAGTGTTAAAGGTCAGCCCCTCCGTTTCCCCTCCACCGTGAGGCCTTTGAAATCATCCAAGCAAAGGGCTTCTCTGTTTACCAGATCTGAAACGCGACCGAATTCAGGAGGATTCCGGCATGGGGTTCTCCCGTAGCAGCCCCCGCAAGGCCAGATAATGCCTCTTGTGCAGGTGTGAAAGTCACCACACACCTTTAGAAGAGGAGGCTGGGGGTGGGGTGCGGACAGGGTACCTGATTACGCCATAGCCACAGAGATTTCCAGAATGCACCCTCCTGAAATAATGTTCATAGGAGACAGGGCTTCCCAAGATGATGCCCCATTTCTCAGCGTCTGCCTTCAGTCAGGGGAGAGATTTGCTCAGCGGCGAGTCCATTAAAGATGTCGGTGGAGCTAAAGTGGAGATGCTCCTGTGAGTAGTTCATGTAGGGA